TCATTGTCAGTCCCAAAGGGATGGAGGGAATCCTGATCAGACTAACAATGATCCCTTAACCTGTTCTTTCAGCTTTTCTTTTTCTGGGAACTTTAATGTAATAATGATGACACTATTACCCATCCATTTTATAGTTAGAGTTATACTTGTTAAACTCCTCTCTCTCTCTACTAAAACACAAAGTCTAGTTTTATTTTATTATTTTATTTTTGGTATTAGGATTGAATCCAGGGTACTGAGCTATGTATCCAGCTCATTTTATTGTTTTATTTTGAGTCAGGGCCTCACTAAGTTGCTTAGGGCCTTGTTAAATTGCTGAAACTGGCCTCAAATTTGGGATCCTCCTGTTTCAGTCTCTTGAGTCATTAGAATTACAGGTTTATGCCACTGTGCCTAGCAATATCTATGCCATATATGCCCATCTACATATACATAAAATATTTTTAAATTTTAAAACAATTAAAAATAAAAGAAAAATTGCCTCTGGGTCAGTCAACAACATCCCCATAGACTATTCCAAGTCCAAGCTGACTTCTGTAAGTTTCTAGGACATAACAGGCATCCAAGAGGTAGGCAGGGATCCCAGAGCCCGGTACCATAGTGGGGTAATAGGAGAAATTGTCTAGGATGCTTGTGGCTTAACTTTGGTCGACTGACATGAAGAAGCTCAGAATCATCAGGATGTTGCTTCAGAGTCTGGGTCATCCAGACTCCCCAACATCCGGTGGATTTGGTGAAAACAAAAAAAAAATAGGAGGTGGAGAGGTACATTAGCCAAATCATTTCAACAAGGGTTCAGCAGCACATGACCTCAATGGAGACATTATGACACAAGCGAGTTGGAACTTTACAATCCCATGGTATGTCAAGCTGCAGTCCTGCAGGGGCTGAGGCATTGTCTGAGAGTCAGGAGGTCTCCTGGCATGGGGGCAAGGGCATAGGCACTAGGCTAGGTTGTACAGAAAGGCTGGATCAGCTGCTAGAGAGTCACAGTGATTAGGACCATTTCAACAGAGCTGAGAGCAGCCCTAGCCCTGCTTGGGGTTACTTGCTGCCATAGAAAGCCAGCGCCCAAGGCCTGAGTCCAGGTGTGAAGGGGCCCAGAGTTCTGTGGCTTGAGAACTTAAAGTACCAGAAGAGATAGGCAGAGACTACAGGGGGCAGGAAAAAGAGGAGATAGAAGCTGGCTAGGAAATGTCAAACATAGACGCCCTGGGGTTCCCCTCCTTGCCAAGCCACTCTCTGAACTGCCACCACCCCATGTGCTTGTGGGTCTCAGCTGCACATTCTGTTGACCCCCATTTGCAAAGGCCCAGACAGTATACTCCCTTCCTTCTCCTCCCCACCCCCTTCCTATAACATATCCCTGCCCCTTGAAAACAGCAAGCCAGGGAGGTTGCAGCTGATGAGGCCATACCTACCTGAAAGAGCAGGGAGCAGGTTCGTGGAGCCCAAGAGTACTCCTCTGTGAGGTCTCACAGATGCGTCCAACCAAGGACCCTAAAATGAAGAAGGGGAGACATTTTATCTAGTCTTGTGCTAATCTCCCAGGCAGTCTTCCAAGGAGCACAAAGTTCAAGATTCTTTCCAGGGACGTTAGGCCTCAAAACAGGGGCTGAAAACTTGAGACTGACACGGGAGCAGATATGCCATGTTGTCATTGGAAGAGGTGATGGGGTGGGAGGTGAGTGGCAACCAGAGGCAGGGAGCAGCATGAAGGAATGGGAAGGGTTGAGAGTGGCAACTAGAACTAGGCAGATGTGGACTAGGGATGTAGCTCAGTGATAGAGCACTTGCCTGCATGCGTGAGGTCCTGGGTTTAATCCCTAGCACCCACAATAAATAAATAAATAATCAAACAAACAAATAAATGAACGAATGAATGAACAAACTGGGCAAATGCAAACACCTTCCCCCCCCTGCTTAGGCCCTCCTCCTCAACTCATAGCTAAGGGAGGAAGGACCTTTTTCTAAAGGAGATCTGTTCATTCCACTGCTCGCATCCCTAGGTTTTGAGGATGCCCTGAGAAGCAGAGCCGTAGGGTGGCCTGGAACACTGCTGAGAGGGGGAAGGAGATTGTTCCCCAAGCAGGATGGCAGAGGACTCTCCAGAAGCTAGGAACCACTAGGGCTGAGATGGCTGCCCGGGGTCCTGGCCTCTTGGGATGGCTTCAAAGATAGGTGTCTAGGTCTCCTGTCTGTGGAGCCTGGGTGTAGGCGGAGCAGATGCTGCAGGGGTTAAAAACAGCAACATATTGCTTTCAAACAGGATGTTTCCTGCTACTTTTAGCTCTTTCCCAGACATGCCTAACACTCCAGTCTTGGTAAAGGCTGAGGGAGGGCTGATTCTGGTGCCCAGACTCTGGGTCTTAGTGGCATGACAAGTCACCAAGGTGGAGCTAGCAGAATTTCATCCTCCCCACTTCTACCCATGAGACAGACAGATAAGATACGTGCGCACACACACACACACACACACACACACACACACACACACACACATTTCCTCCCTTTCTTGATGTATTACTGGGGAAATACATAGCTATGTAGTTACCCAACCCTGAACCCTGGCACAGGCCTTTGAGCCAAACCGCAGGTGGGGAGGTCTTGTCACTCAGGTTTTGCTTCCCTTCAGAGATCCCTCTCTCCTAGTGACCTGACTAGACAGGGAAGGGGAGAGCTCCAAGGGGCTTCCAAGACTTGGGGACAATCCTAGAACTGCTAGCCACTGAGCCCATTTGCCACCTGTCAGGTACTGCCAGCCCCCAGGGAACATCCAAGGAAAATGCCGGTGGAGCCCAAGAGTACTCCTCTGTGAGGATGACTGACGAGCTGAGTGGTGGGATTACTACTTCCCAGGGCCATGGGTGGTGGGAGGTATGCCTGCTAGGGACATGCTCTCCTTTGCTTCCTCTGCTCACATGACCCATGTCCCCTGGCTGACCATGCTCTTCTGGATTCTACTCAATAGCCTTATGGATTTCTTGGGCTCTCTACCCAATCTTCAGGAAGACTGGGGTGAGAACAAAGTGGGAACAGAGAGGACCACTGCTTTCCTGTCCTCAGATCCTAAAGTTTTCAGAGGTCAGAGGTGATAACTACTCTTGAACTTAAAAAAAAAAAGTTACAAAGTATCCACAGTGTGCCTGCCAAGCCTGGTAAGTGCTGCACCCTTTATTACAATTAACGCTTACAACAGTCCTGGGAGGTGCAGAGTAGTCCCATTTCAAAGGCGGCAAAATCAAAGTTTGGGGCACTTTGAGTGACTTGCCAGTCCCAGGGCCAGGCAAATGGTGGTACCAGGCAAGGCCAAATGAGGGCAGGCTGATAGTAACACCCAAGTTCTTCCTTGGCCTCCCATTTTCATCGATAATCATCAGAGCAGGCACCTATTGCTCTGTACTGGGTCCTGCTCCAAGTTCTTCATGCATACTTACTCATTTAACCCTCACCACAACTCATCAGGAGGGTCCTGTTATTATCTCTATCTTAGGAATGGAAAATGGAAGCATGGGAAAGTGGATCATCTTTGGAGCCAGAGTTTGAAACAAGGCAGCTTAGCTCTGAGTCTCCACTCTGCTACATTTCCTAAGAGAAATATTTTAATCATTTCCCCAGCCTCAAGCCCTGGACACCCTTCACCTCCACGAAGTCAGGGAACAATGCAGAGAACAATCTCCAGATCATGAGGGAAGAATGTTGTGGCTCTTTTCCTTCCAAGGATCCCCAGGCCAGGGGATGGCAGGCTTCAGTCAGGATCTGCTTTCCACCAATTAGCCCCTCATCTGGGGAAGCTCTGTTCAACACATGGCCCCTTCCTTCCCACTCAACTTTTCAGTACTGGATGACTCTTTTAGGAGCGATTACCCTAGTTTGAACTTCTAGATCCAAGGGCAGATTGATAAGAAAGTAGAGCAAAGACACAGAATGAAAAAGAGGACAGGTCGTAAAAACCACTTCACGTCCCCTAATCACGTCATGCGCTCTCCCACACCCACCAGCAATCATGTTCTGAGTACAGAAAATATCCCACTGCTTTTGCAACCCCTTCCTGACCCTGCTTTAGAAATACTGAAACCCTCAGCGAGCTTTGGAGAAGCAGGAGGAAGGAGCCCAACTCTGCAGAAAGTCCCTTGCTTCCATTCCTCCAGAGACTAAATCTCATGTCCAAACCTCTCTGTGCCCCTGGCCTTGACCCCAGTCCCGGCAAGAAATGAGAAGATCATGTAGTTCCTTCCAGTCACAGAAACCACAACCACTGCCTCTCCTACATGTCTGCCTGTCGACTCACACAGCAGGCACCCATCTTCCTGCAGCTTCTGTTCAATGGGCATCCTTGGGAAGAGCCTTGCCCAAGATTTTTTTTTTTTTTCAGAAGTGGCTTTAGGGTGTCCTGAGAAGACAAGGATCAAAATCCTCATCTCCCTCCTGCTCTGGGCTCATTTTAGCTCTACCACATTGATTGGACCTGCCTCTAAGTCCCGAGGATGGTATGGCTATGACTCTGAGGAGGACCCAGGGGTGGACAAGAGGCTTACCATTAATGTCTTTTCCAGCTCTGAAAGTGTGTGACTCAAAGACCAGAATTCCCATCATGATGAGGACTCCAATGAAATGCATTCACAGAGCTTTCTCCCTGACGCCTCAGACGAGAACCAACATACCTGTCTGAGCAACTGAGAACTACTATCCTCAGACGCTAATGACCAGGAAAGGCATGAAAGATGTGGCCCAATGAACCCCAGTGGATAATGGGTACCCAGGAGAAGGGATCTCAGGCAGTACGGGATCTGAGTAATCAAAACTGGAATTTCTAATTGTTGACATTGGCTCAAAGTTCCCACTCTTTCTAGAAAGAAATAGAAAGCTAAGCAATTTCACTACAGAGAAAGAGTTTTTTTTTTTTCTTCTTAAAATTGGCACACATAGGGGCTGGGGTTGTGGCTCAGCAGTAGAGTGCTTGCCTAGCACGTGCGGCGCTCTGAGTTCGATCCTCAGTACCACATAAAAATAAAATAAAGGTATTGTGTCCAACTACAACTAAAATAGAATATTTTTTAAAAAAAATTGGCACAGACAGAGGGAACCACATGTGGGACTCTCTCTGGAGCAAACAGATCTGCGTGTCCACCCTTCTTGACAATTTTCATTTCATCATCCTTTTGGCTTGGCCATGGCATGCTGAGCACTGTATGACCTACCCAGCTCTTCATCTTTCATCTCTTTATTCTATCATGTAACTGAAGCATAGTGTTATCAAGGCTAGCTAAGGTGATGCCCTTTCTTCCTTCTCTACCCCTCCCCCGCCAGCATGTGCCCATTTTCTTTGTCCAGAACAATCTCAGCATTATTTCCCCCACCAAAAAAAAACAAAACAACAACAGCAACAACAACAAAAACAACAAAAACTGGCAGGGGGGTGCTGTGGGCAGAGAAAAAATAAGGGAAAGAGGGGAGAGGATGTACTGTATAAATAGTCAGTTGTATGTAAGCTACTTCTTTGTCCTACTGTCTCCCCAGCTCCTCCATACATATATATTTTAGACACGGGTGAGAATGGTTGAAAATCATTTTCTACAGCTACAAGATCCAAAGCAAAAACAACAGATATTAGTCATTCCAGAAAATAGCAAGATTAGAAGACAATTTAGCACTACCTTTTCCAACCATCTTAAAATCCCTTCTTATTCTAAACAAAGGGTTTCTTGGCCTGTGCTTGAATATGTGTCCTAATGGAGAGCCATCTCCCATAGCAATCCACTCTCTCTGAATGACTGTATGCTTATAAAATGCATCACTATGCACAGCTGAAATATTCCCTGTAGTTTTCAGTTGCTGGTCCTAGACCAGCTCTGTATAACTAAGAAGATGAACCTTCTAGGCCATTTACACAAGGCCTCTAGAGGAGCACTTGGAGGGGCCACTAATTAATATCACTGTGAAAATTAGAAAAAGAAGCTTAGTCCTCAATACACTTTTCTCCCATCAGTCAGAAAGTTGTCATTAAAAAATACAAAAATCTACGGGGCACGATGGCACACACCTGTAATCCCAGCAGCTTGGGTGTCTGAGGCCTAAGGATCACAAGTTCAAAGCCAGCCTCAGCAAAAGCAAGGCTCTAAGCAACTCTGTGAGATCCTATCTCTAAATAAAATACAAAATAGGGCTGGGGATGTGGCTCAGTAGTTGAATGCCTCTGAGTTCAATCTCTTTTTACCCACCCCCACCCCAAAATCTATAATGCCCATGTTTATAGTAGGGGGAGAAGGAGAGGATGGAAGACAGCCTGGGCTATCATTAATTTTGAATGAGACTTCATAAACTTGCTAGGTATGATCATGATTCCCACAACAGGAAGTAAGGCAGTTAAGAGCAGACCACATCGGCCACAGCAGCCTTCACCTAGGAAGCAGCTCCCAGCACAGGGAAAGGGCCCTTGGAAGCATGTACATAGCTGCCTGTGCTCCTGCCAATGCTCCCTGTCTCCTCTGTCTGCAGCT